CACACACACACACACACACACACTGTTCTAATTATGATAGGAAATATTTTCTTTCTCAAATAAATCATTATGATACTCATGTGTGCTAGTGGTAATCTAATGAAGCGATGATATGTTAGCAAGAGAGAGAGAGAGAGAGAGAGAGAGAGAGAGTGAGAGAGCATGAAAAAAAAAAAAAAAAAAAAAAAGGGTTAGGATATAAAGTCTTTCTGATCAATCAATGTGGTAAGATAGACTAAGCATTTAGCAGATTCAAGTCCAGTGAATTGTCCGGTAGGGTGTCAGGGAGAGACGCTGCCGCCGCCACCGTTGTGTCAAACGCAATGTCAGCAGTCACGTTGTCAGCAGTGCTCCACTTCTTGAGGAATGCAATCACCAGTCGAGTCAATTCAGCCTCGGGAAGGTCTTGCACGGTGTCGTGATCCCTTTCACAAAACCGTGAGTCTACAAACATCAGGGGGATTGCCGAAAGCCATGCCTTGAATTCGCACTTCTCCCTGTTGAAAGATATAGTGGAAGGATGCAGATAGAGCTGACACTCTTCGTTCATCGGGAAGTTGGGCACACCCTTGGTTGGCTTGAGATACAAAGCAGTCACACTCTTCCCTTGGTACATTGCAGGGAAGATGTTACTCCGTATCCTGTTGATATGTGGAGATCTCACGGCACGTCTCAAAGGTGTTGAGGTCTTCAGGAAGAATTGAATGAGATCGTCTTGTGAAGCCTGGACGTACAGCTTAAGTTGACCAAAGCGTCCTTCACATACCGTGCCATTGACAAGCATGCCCGGTAAATCACCGCGCGTATAGTAGAAATCGGTGCCAGGAGCAACATGATAGTCGTGGGCGGTCTTGCTGTACATTGCTTGAACACACTCTGCTGCCCCATCCGTAATAATGGTGGCGACACCTGGTAGTATGGTAGGACGAGGAGATGGCATCTTGATCTTAGGCAGAGGCTCCAGATTCGGATTACGGCTAGCACGTCGCTTGTAGAGACCGGGTTTCTTTATCGTCTTGATAGCGAACGGGTCAATACCCAAACAGTCCACAACATCTTCACCAGCAACAACAGCATCAGTGGCCATCATGATATCAGTCACGAGAGATCCAGAGAGATCCAGAGGGAGAGAGAGAGAGAGAGAGAGAGAGAAGGCTTGAGCAACGAAACAACAAAGGCAGTTGTGAGTGAATGGAGGACTGTGCTTGCACATATATACCCTTTTGACCGCCGCCGAGTTTGAAATAACATCCTATGGGAGGTGACGACCTTGGAGAACACGGTGAAATTGTTCAAGAATCAACCAATCAGAGGACACGGTGAGCAGATGATAAGATTTAACCAATCACAGCACGACTTGCACTTGACCTGTCGGAACATGTCTCGGTCATGACTGAACGTGTCTCGACCATGTCTCAGAACAGGTTCCCGAGAGTGTAAATCTCCAACGCATTGCTAACATCGATGACGTACTGCAGTCTTGGTAAATTGATAGAGTATGTTGGCAAGATCAGGTGGGAGAGAGGTCACGTGATCTACTAAATAATCCAGACTGTAGTCATGCCAACAATAGGCATCTATTAGAAGATGCATCATGGACAGGTCTGCAGGTGACATCAAGGACAAATTAACTTTCAGAGTGTTCAGCTGTCTAGCGGACAGAGGACCCTTGATGTGTTCCATGAGATGTAGAAGAAACATCAGTGGAAAACATGATGGAAGAGGTTGTGTAATGCGGCTGCTTCTCAACCATGATACATTACTGCGCGGTAAAGAAGAACGCAGTGTGCGCACTGCATCATGATCCTCATGAAGTATACACGATAATGCTATTGCATAGTTCATGCTTTTATAGCTGCTGGACTTCTTCATTGCTTGCAGTGCCTCTTGAACAGGGTGAAACTGTGCATGCGGTAAAGTGAAGTCGATCTTGTTGAGAAAATGTACAAGATGACGATTCACACCTTGAATGCGATCGGAATCCGTGTAGGTCTTTATGCTAGTACAACGCTCTCTCCACTTTACCTCGGGCATGTAAATGTCAGCCATTACCAATCCACACTGAGAACAAACTCTATGACCAGCATGCTCAACTTGTTCTTCACGATGATAACACACTTCTTCACTTTCCTCTATCTCCTTCTTCTTCTTCTTCTTCTTTTCCTCCAGCGCACATTGCTTCTTTGAACGAACATAAGCATACAGGATCTCAAATTCAGAATCCATTTTCACTGCACCACAACAACTTGAAACTGACTGGATCATCATTCAAGAACACACCTTTTATACTTACATAATCATGACACCATATTACCTTATTGTTTAGGGTAGAGCATAACACCCCAATACATATTTTCAATAATACCCCCTTTTTTTTGAGGTAGGGGCACCCCCTGGCACATATTTTTATCCGCAAAAAAACCGGGCCAAAAATAATTTTCACCGCAAAAATGGGGTACTATTAGTACCCCATTTTTCAATAATACCCCATTTTTTGGGACCCGGGCGCCCCCTGGCCCAGAACCCGCTCGTACATTCCTACTGATGGGGAACTTCGTGTGAACACCCGTGGCTTTGAACGCGAAAGTTGAAGGAAACGCTAAACAAACTTGAACTACTTCACACAAAAATTGATGAAACAGTCAAGTGTGCCGAGTCATAACATTACGACTTACCTGAACAATGTGTTCCATTTCCTTGGTAACCAGTTAAACATGCACATGTGTATGAACCAAGGATGTTGCTACAGTTAGCGTTGGCATGACAACCATGTGTTTTTGCTGTACATTCATTGGTGTCTGATATGGTGATAAAGTGAACAACAGAATAACATTACTTCCTCCGTATACAAAAAAATCATGACTTTTTTTAAGGCTGCGCACAGCTCTGGAATTGTTTAGCTTGACTTAGAATAACACTGGTGGCATTGTCTCACCTACCGTATTATCTCTAATATAAGCACAGTCTCCAATAATAGCACGTCTCCAAAAATAGAACACCTTGGGGCGGCATTCAAAAATAAAATGCTCAGTCTCCATTATAAGCACACTGTGTAAATTCATTATCTGTACCGGCGAAAAGCCCCTGAAATGTGTGTGTCTGACATGAATTTGGCATGGCAACATGCCTCTGAAATGAGGTTGAAATAATAATGGAACAGTCTCCAATTAAGGAACGTCTCCATTTATAGCACGGGGCGGAGGTACATTGAAAAAATAAAGGACCGTGCTTATATTAGAGATAATACGGTATTTATAAGCTATATACAAAGACAAAAAGCAACTCAGATGAATGATATTGAGTTTATTCAGAGTCTTCTTCGCTCGTGTCATTGTCACCTGATGACGCTGACTTCGCATCGTAAACAGTCGCTGCTTCTGCTCGCATTTCGTTCAGCTTCTTGTCAGCTGCAGTGATGATCCGACACGGGACTTTGGCTACGTCCTCTTCATCTCCAGAGCTGTGTACGCCTCGGTGTCGACTATATTCAGTCGTTTCACCCGCGACCTCCATTATGTCGTGAAACGGGTCGTACAAGCACATCCGAATGCTTCGCATTTTCTCGGCAGGATACCCCTCCCAGTATTCTACAACGGCTTCGGGGAGGTCTCTGTGATTCCCCTTCCCTACAAAGGAGACGTCTGGTTGTGCCTGGTTGCACGACGACTTCAATGTTTCATCTTGCCGTGACTGAGTCTGTGAGCGGAACAGCATTATGACTATGTTCTCATGCTGCGTAAGAGGCCGCGTGCCGTCGGGCTGTAAGTACAGAGCCTAGCCAGCTTCAGGGCAGAGAGTGCCGCGTGACTCCACGTATATCTACCCGTGCTCAGCCCCGAGCACCACTGCAGCTTTGTCAGTTTCGAGCCAAAAAGGTTTTTACTTGACTCGTGAGTTCCAGTGTCGGCAATGACCTCACACGCATGGCTTTCTTGGAGAATCTGTTCGGAATCAACTAAACGTACCTCGACATGGATGTGGGTAGTCGATGACAGCCTTTAGCGCGGTTCGTTGAGCGGGTCCTTGCTAAAAAAACACCGTTGAAAAAAGTCAGGGAATTTTGTATACGGAGGAAGTACATGCAAGTGTTAACGGGCTCCCGTAAGAAGACCATAGTTCTGTGGGAAACCCTAGTAAAATAAATCAAATAACAAAAAATGCAAGTGTTATCTAACATCACCTTTGGAACATTGCCACCTGATTCCCTGAGAATATCGCGTAACGGAGTACAGAACACGTTCTCAACACTCCATATCGTGTTACACACACTTGAAAAGAATGAAAAGCGTTTCTGCTGTAACTCTGAGTTTCCTTGGTTTTAACCGATCATCAGACAGCAATCGCCTTACACAATGCCATGGTAATATTGTTATGCTGGGTTGCAACATTCATGGTCTATAGCAGTACTCTCAGTGCAGGGTCAGAATCCATTTTCGTCTGATGATCGATTCAGTTCTTGAAACTCAGAGTCAGTAAACAGCAACTGCTCGTTCTTCGGTCTGTGTAAGCAGCCATTCGCAAGATTTGTATCGCATCATTTCCCCCTCCAGTTCATATCCTGAAGAAAATGGTTGCAGTGAGTTGGACAGTACTTGGAGAATTGGGTACTCTTCCCTTCGTGAGAGCTCACACTTTCCCTGTCGACTTACTCATGTGAGAATTCAAGTCGGCAGGCAACGCGTGACCTCTCAATTTAGGGTACAATACACAGTGATTTATCCAACGGAACTTGAAATTCTAGTTCTTCGGAAGTGAACGTTTGTCTTATCAGTGTAATTCTTTAGGGACGTTTCACTGGATTTGAAATACTTGGTCCGACTTATTAAAATGTGCGTTTCGCTCCTTTGTACATATGCTTGAGTTTTGAAGTGAAGCGCACATTTTAATAAGTCGGACCAAGTACTGCCATGGCAACAGCACCACTGTGACGTCATGGCAATTTCACCATGACAACGATATGGCAACAGCACCATGAGTCATTTGAACAACGGCACAGGCTGTCACATACCAACTGTGAAGAGAAGGCTAGTGTTGCTGTAGCCGGTGAAAGAGTCGCCAGTTGCCGGGAGAGTGATGTTGACTAGAGCTCTCAATTGGAATGCATAGGTTCCAGCGGCCAGATTACCTGCAGTGAAAATACATATAGCGAGCAATGAGATTCGTAAATGACGCTCAACACACACACCAGAAAACAGAACTGTATTCCTTGCGGACACACCTACGTCCAACTAAAAAAAGTCAAGGGTTCGCAAGAGACTTGGCCGGAGGCCGGGTTCTCCACATCCGTAGGAACGCCAGCGCCCTCAAGGATGAAGGCGCAGATACAGCACATAAATCCAGGGGCGTAGCAGCCAGTCCGGCCGGACCGGCTTTGACCGGACCACTTTTTCGCCCAGAAGTGCCCAGAATGCAGGATTTTGCACCCTAATTTCAAAAATTAGGCTACACGCCTGAAATCGGTGGGCGGTGAGGAGATCAGACCCACCAAAGTAAAAATTCAACATGTAAATGTATAGCCAGTAATGTATCATTATTACAGTAGGCGTATAAGCTATAAAGACGAAATATGAACTTCACTGGGATCTTACATACATGTACCAAGGGCAGTGGAAGGAATTTAGTGTGGGACGGTCAGCCATCTGAAGTCCAATTTACTCGTGGGGGAGGGGTGGCGCAGTGGAAATGTTTTGAAATTTAGAGCCCAAATCAGTGTATTTTCTTGATTTACGTGGCACCTGGGGCAAAAGGTGGTGCGGTGAATACCGTAATGACTGCGGCGTGTCTGACGCCCCTGCTTGCCCCTGCTTGCCCCTGCTTGCCCCTGCTTGCCCCTGCTTGCCCCTGCTTGTGCTCGTGTAGATTCCGAAAAATATTGTTGTTGCCACACATGATGTTCGGCCTCAATACCAAAAATCTGCAATTTTCTAACACCTCCGTCACCCGCATACATTGTGCCTGAACCTTTGAGTGTTAGTATTTAGTCATCCTGTCCTGGATCGGCCCAATCCAACACACCCTTACTCTGTGTGAACATTCCATCTGTTGTGAGAACTCCAGAGCCAATGCATACCACTAAAACCGTCCCTTCTAAAGCAATACTTCGGACATCAAGCGCGCCCGTGGACGACCCCACAAGAGATGGGTCGACAACATCAGAGAAGACCTCAAGCCTCTGAATGTGCCGATGAAGAAATGCCTCAACCTCGCCACCAACAAGCAACTCTGGTTAACAATCATTGACAGGTACATGACCCCCGTATGATTTGTTTTATGCGGGCAATATGCGACCTGTTCATATTATTATTCGTTTTTGGGATCGGCCCAATCAAACACACTCTTACTCTGTGTATATGTTCCAGTTGGTGCAGTGGGACCAGCACCGGTGATGCAAGGCACAAATTCAGTCTTATTGCTGCCTATATCACTGTATTGATCCAGATCCTCACAGTATAGATGCAGACCACACGGGATCATGCCGTGATGACTGCTGACCGGTGTGCTACTGCTCGAAGACTGTGTGTGGGTGGGTGTACACAAACATTGACACACAAACATTATACATGTACACACACACACGGACACACACACATGGACCCACACACACAGAGAAACACACACATGGACACACACACACAAACACAGAGAATCAAAAACAATTACCTCTAAAAAAAAGCAAGGTCCCGGGTTCGAGTCCTGGTTGGTGTGGAATTTTTGTTTCTCTTTTCATGCAGTTCACTTCTCCAGCTAATCCTTTGAAACTCAAATAAAACGAAGCAATACTTTAGAGATAGCAAAACCACCGCCACCAGAAAAGCAACAACAACAAAAAAAACGGTCCTGTCCAGCATCCAGCAGGCTTTTCCCGTGATGCCAGGACCCTGGAACACAGGGTAAGCCAGTCAATAAATGGGGCAACTAACCCCAGGGCACAGCAAACAGTCCCTGGCAACAAGTATCAAGTCTGGCCTTTATTCCTGGGTCCAAAGACCCGTGAAATGTTTAAGACAACTCCAACAATGTACAGTTGCCTCCACATATAACAAACTCACATAGCAAATTTCGTGACAATTACAGGAAACCATTGTCCATACCCCAGTTCTAACCTACCATATATGTGCATTTCTGTTTTATCGAACTTCGGCTATAAAGAACTGATTCTCCTGCACAATGGTGCTTGCTATAGATCAACAGTCCACTGTAGATGGCATGACTCACCCCTGGGCATGGGTTGATCTGACACGGTTCCGTGATGATCTTGAACGTGCAGGCAGGGTCTGTGACCGGGGGGTCATGCGACTGACCAACGAGAGTGACTGTGCGAGTACCCTGACCGCATGTCTTGGAGCACGCACTCTGAAAGCACAGACAAACACATACTGTATTGCCTCCATAAGCAAGCCCAGTCTCTTGTAGAAGCCCAGTCTCCATTATAAGTGCACTCCAAGAGGGCTTCGGGATTATCTTATCGTATGTCTGTTGTAGTGTTGGCTATCCCGATACAGTTTTCTTGTCACTACGCTTACCTTATTTTAAAACGTTTTACTGTAGACACAACCTACTCGTTGTAAGAGGAGAGAAAAATAGCATGACAACACAACAATGCGAAGAGAAGGGGCTCCAAGAAAGAACCTGTGCTGATGAGGCAAGCCAATAATGAGTACACTGCGCATACATTAGATGCCTGGTGTTACACTCTGGTACTCAATCTCACTGTTGAGAACAAACTGATACTGTGAAGAACGAGGGACATCTGTGAACCACGAAACTCTGAAAACACAAGCAAAACTCTGAGCTGCGAAACAACAATTACAAGCAGCGCGGGCAAACTCTAGCCTGACTCTAACTCTCGTAGGTCTAACTCTCTAAGTAACTCTAACAAACTCTAAATCTCTAAAAACTAACAAATAAAGCACGGAACATGTGAATATAAAGGAGCTGCTTGCAAGCAGCGCCAGCCAAAGTGCAGCGATGCAAAGAGATACGGAGAGCAGGAAAGCGCTCCGAAGGAGACGCAAAGGAAACATGAGCGCTCGCAACAGCTCCGGGTCACGGAGGAAGGGCAGTGCAGTGACAGGTGCGGGAAAACAAAAGAGTGCGGTAGCTGTGACAAATGCATTGATTGGTGAATGACTGAAAACTGACCCACCGTACTGGAGCCAGCGGCAAAGGGTATCAATGCACACTGGATTTAGTCATGCCGTCATGCCTGACATACTACACACTGTGTAAGGCTACAGATTCATGCAAGTACAAATGCACTACTGCAGAGATGGAGTATTCCAGCACACCTGGTGCATAACAAAATTACGGAAAGGCGCGGAACAGCATCCTTTCTTGGAGCTTCTCTCCCGGGATTTGTTTCAAATGGTTCTTCACATTCTGTATCACAATCAGTGGTTTAACAAAATAGGTTACTTCAAAAATGCTACAAGGAATGGCGGTGTGGGGAAAGAGTGAGTGTGAGAGAGAGAGAGAAATAGAGAGAGAGACAGAGAGAGACAGGGAGAGAGACAGAGAGACACAGAGAGACACAGAGAGACAGAGACAGAGAGAGACAGAGAGAGAGAGAAAGAAAGAAAGAAAGAGAGATAGAGAGAGAGAGAAAGAGAGAGCGAGAGAGAAAGAGACAGCACTTCAAACAGCGTGTCAGATTCTGCCCCCCCCCCCCCCCCCGTCCCCTCCCCAACACACATGCATTTATGTGCACATAAACATGCAAGCAGGTAATACATGAGCAGCGGCAATGGGCTTGTGAACTGTCCAGACCTCTGGTCGGTTGAGCATGGCAGACACCTCCAGCACCATCTCACCCCATGATAGACCCATGTGCCTGCCAATAAGTTGTGTGTATCTTGGAAAAAAACTCACAATTGCAGCACGGCGGTAGCGACAAGCCTGCTGAGATTGGATTATGCGACATTCAAATGCCACACTGCTCATACTATTTGCATTGTTCGTCGTGAAGCTGAAACAGACACCGAACAACACAACAAAACACGAGAATGGATGAATAGATGACTAGTGATCTCTTTCCATTCCAGCAGTGGTTACCATTGCAATAATCTGCTAAGCAATAACAATACGTCATGACACATAGATTCGTATGCGCATTTGAGAAGCGATTTCCAACATCCATGTTCATTGAATTGCCAAAGGGGATTTCCCGTTTCCAACTTTCCCTCAAACCAGTGAAAACAAAGAGGATATCCAAGTTCACCGAACGGCCCTGATTTTCCGTACACAGAACAAAAAAGTGGCAAGTTGTTCATTGAGTGGATGAGTTGAGATGCAGACTGAAGTACATGCACGGCCTGTGACACTATGTGAACAAGGTGTTGTTGCATTCAATGCTGTCCTTCAGCCAGGCACAACGATTTTGATTAAAGGCATTTCTGGAACAGTCCACCACTCAACACTGCACTCCTAACTGCACTCCTCTACCCCACGTGAGAGCTTGGAAGCTCAGGGCCCTATGCTATGCTTTTTTGCCTTTATGACCTAGGCAAAAAAAAGCTTAGGGATGTTATAAATTTTTCATTTCTCCTATTTTTTCAAGACATAACCTGGGATTCGAACCCGCACTATCGCCCTGCATGCATCACCCGATATCGCGATACACTTCGCATAGATACTAATTCTTCCAAGTTGCTTCACGTTATGATCTTGCATTCGAAAGCCCTATTTGAATATAGTGGCCAGCTGTTTGTGGCTAGCCCTCTTTGATGGTACGGTACGGTACGGAGCAGATGCGGTCGAGGGAAATACGACACCGTCTGCCACCTTGATGACCTAGGCAAAAAAAACATAGGGATGTTTTCAATTCTCCTATCTTTTCTAAATTATACTCCGCTTGGAACGCTTCCAGACCATCAGCTAGCAAGGCTGTATAAACTGGTGCTGGAATATTGGATGCCAGTTCTTCTCTCACAGAAGTATCAGATTCTGTCCGAGACGGTCCACGACCATGACAAAGAGGACACCATTGCATGATTCTTTTCCTCTACCATAGACCGCACCGTTTCCATGTGTGCAGCTGCAGTAGCACGACCCGAATCAGCACGATTAAGCCTCCTATGCTCATTTCTTGCATTTGTGTCGTCTGACGTTTCCTGGGACCGGCGCTGACTCTGCCGATCACGGGCGTTCTGGAAATCTTTCCAGAAAATTTCCCAAACAAGACAAGGCAATTGTCTAAGATCTTCAGGCTGCGTTCAATGCTCTATGTCCACTGGACATAGCCAGCCATGCAATACTCAGGCTGTGTTCTCTATGTGCAGTGGACAGAGTCAGTGATGCAATACTCACACAACAAGAACAGTAACCAAAACCTGTTCTGTTGTTACTCAGAGTTTCGTGTTAAGAAACACTCGTCAGACAGCATGACATCAGGACGTGGTTGTGCCATCGCTATGATAGTATTGTTTACCAGGCATGGAGGACTAACCTGAAGTTCGCCATGTTGCCAAGACTGCTGATGAGAAATGACGAGTTGTAAACAGTCAGGAAAGGCGGTGGGAATTGCACGACTAGCTTGAACGGCTCATCGACCACTTGTACATGCACTGGGACGGACTGGCTCAGCATTGGGCGTCCCATGTCTATAGCCTGTATGTTTGTGTGTGGTAGAGATGTGAAGGGGTGGGGTGGGGATTTGAGAGTGATATGCATGTGAACACGCACACACGGATGAATGCACACACACGCAAGCGCGCACGCACAAGCACACACACACACACACACACACACACACACACACACACACACACACAAACACACACACACTCATACACACACGCACGCACACACAAACACACACAGACACACACACACAGACACACACACAGACACACACACACATGAATGCACAGACACACACACATGCTGGAGTCCATAAAGGGAAAGCATAAAATGTGTAAACTCTCAAATTCCACTCTATCCTGCAATCCGCTTAACCCTAAATGGTGAAACCAAACTAGTCACGTATGTTCACTTAGAAAATAGCCTTTGTTGTTGTTTGTTGTTTAGCTTTATTTTACTTCACCATGGGCGCATGTAAACTCTGCCTTCTCACTGAGCGTATTGCCACAGTTCTTGCAAAAACGATGAAAATACTGATATGAGAAAAAGGAAGAGGAAAAAAGGCCTTCCAAGGTGATAGCCGCTGATCACCTACAGTAGGTTAACGTAGAAAGTAGCCGTACAAGTTGCTAACCTTACCGTCAGTGAGAGGTTGTAGTGGCGACGTGACTCCAACTCCAGCTTGGCATTATGCTTGAGTTCACAGACGTACCGGCTGCCCACCTTCACTGTGCTGACGGCAAAGAGATGAGGCGGGGAACCGTCTGTTGTCGCAACACTGCAGGCTAGCTGACTGTTTAGAAGAGAGTCCTGTACAAGGGCAAGAAAAATGAATACCTACTCACAACTACATCTTGAGTGCTTTACTTCTACTTCTAACTCTCGAGCAGGGTATTGCCGGGCAAGGCAAGACGAGGCACGGCTGGGATAGGCAGAGCAAGCTAGAGGGAGAACGGGAAGTCTGGGGGGAGACAGTGCTTAGCATGGTAGAGCAAGTTAGGAGGGAAGCAAGACAAGGCCAAGAGAGGCCAGGAAAGGCTGGACACGGCAGGCTTAGGCCAGGTACAGTGAAAACTCGTTATGATGAACATTGCTGAGACAAACTTTCGCTTTAGAAGAACAAGAATTCCAAACCCTATAATTATTAAATAAATCACTGTATTTTACTGGGTATACAATAAGAATAAAAATACCGGTGGAAAAGGAGAAGGAAGAAATGTTATGAGTTATGACTAACTGTCCACCAATGTAACCAGATCTTATCCGTTCAGCGAGCGCGACAAAATGGCACAAAACTGACAAGGAGTACTGAGACATTTGGAGACATTTTCCTTCTCCTTTTTCACCATAATTTAATTGGCTTACCATCCGAGTTGAATACAAATACCTCCCTATATAGTACACAAATACCATTGATCACCTGCAGTTCGTCCTAAAGAGGTTTTCTTTTATCCTCATACTTACCGCATCAGTAGCGGCAATCGAGAGTATAACTAGCCCCACTGCTAATGTCTTCTCGACCTTGGCGGTGTAGAACTTCTGGTCAAACATAGGACGGTTGTCATTCAGGTCATTCAGCGAGATGAAGATTGTCTGAAGAAGCAAAGGGAAGGAGAGAGAGGGAGATAGATAGATAGATAGATAGATAGATAGATAGAAGGAGAATAAGACATAAGTTGGAAGGCTGTTGGAGTGCGCATCCAAGATGTGCTAGAGCTGTTAGCCAGTTAGTTGTAGAACGTCAGTACCGCCGGTCAGTGTCGTGCAATGTTATCGCATGAGCTGATTGTTTAGTAACTGGTGGTGTTAGTGGACACTGACAGTATAGCGTAACTTGTAGTTCCTTGGTTTTTCTCTTTTGTATAAATTAAACCTTGGCTCTCCATCTGAGTCCATAACAACATAATCATCAACGTAAAGTTGCTGTTGTGTTGAATCATTCACAAATGAGTTGAGTTGACTTGATTTCCCTGATCACCTCCTGGTCAAAACAATAATGCCAATGTTGTATAGCTTTTGTGTCCAAATTTTGTTTTGATTTGATTTCCCCAATCACTTTAGTTTGATGATATGCATGAGGACTTGCCCGTACAAGTGGCTTTTTCCAGGATCATCACAGAAAGAGAACGAAGACAAAACAAAAGCAGAGCATGGTACCCTCTTCGGTCTGTTCTAGTGTCTTCTTCTGCAACACCTCCACCACTTTCCCCATTTACGATGCCTGATTGCAACGTCAACACGGAGACCTCTGGTCCGTCGAGTTGCTCTCAGTACATCGGCGAACTGTCCCAACATCCCCTTTGTCTTGTTTTATGTGTTCATAGTGAAAAATGGCGACCAACCCCCCATCTTACGGTGACTGAGGACTTGCGATTATTGTCTTGCGGCGTTCCGTCGATTGCTTGCAACTCCAGCCTGAACCAGCGATCACCAGGGCTTTCGTAATCCAGTACTTTAGTACGGTTGATGCTAGCTGGGCCGCCGGCCTTCGGCTGTATTTAGGAGAGAGAGAGAGAGAGAGAGAGAGAGAGAGAGAGAGAGATAGAGAGATAGATAGATAGATAGATAGATAGAGAGACAGTGAGAGAGAGAGAAAGAGGGAGAGAGAGAGAGAGAAGTGGGTTGTGAGTTGTCAAAAGAATGTCGAAGAAGACCAGCCATTTGCTTGTAAGTTTAAAAGAATTCGACAAATCAAAATCTAAAATTGGCAAACTCAAACTCCAGAATTCACAAAAACCAAAATTCATATAACTCAAACCCTGAGATTGGCAAACACAGACTTCAAAATTTATCAACTCGAACCTTGAATTCACATCATTTGCTGACCTGGCTGAGAGAGAAATAGCTTGTTCTGTCCTTGCCGATTTCGTTGGTTGCATTCAGAATGCTGACAAGTGGTGATCCATAGATAGCAGTGATGTCACTGTCAGAAACCTCAATCTGCAAAAGGGGTAGCACAGCAAATATGCACAATTAGTTTTCAGTATAACAATTTGGAAGGGTTCCAATTCTTAGAATAGCACAATAGTCATTCACCTATACGCTGTCCACATCAGTCTAGAAAAACAAATCAAACATTTTCTCAACCAAACGTTTTCGTTCCCTTCTCATACAGGACTCATTCCCTGTGTGAGCCCATGGTGAGCTGTGTGAGGCCATGGTGATCTGTGTCAGTCAATGTTTAGCTGTATGAGTCCATGGTGAGCTGTGTCAGTCCATGGTGAGCTGTATCAGCCCATGGTGAACTGTGTGAGCCCATGGTGGGCTGTGTCAGCCGATGGTGAGCTGTGTGAGCTGTGGATGATTGGATGACTATTATACTATTCAGTTTCCTCTGAGACAAAAATGCGATAATACTCATAAAAAGGACACACTTCAGGCTCATTACAAACATCTTGAAAGTTTTTGTCTTCACAAGTATACTTTCAAGCCTTCTCATCAGGTGAAATACAGGCAAGAGAAAAGGAACAGGAACAGTGGAAGCTGTATACATCCACACAAGGAAACCCAACCTTTGCAAACAGAAACAAATCAAATTCACACTTAGGCTGTTAGGTAGGTCGTCAAAACCTCGTTAGTTACATGTATGTCCAGTGGTTGTCTCTTGTTGTCGCACTACATGTCGCGCTTATTGAGTTTTCTCGCATTTGCACCTTTGTGTCATTATTGCAATTTTCGCTGTTTACTTTAGCTATCTTCTTTCTTTCTTTCTTTCTTTTTGCGCTGTTTTACCACCTTCTTACTGTATTTAATCCACTGTTCCTGTTCCTTTTCTCTTGCCTGTATTTCACCTGATGAGAAGGCTTGAAAGTATACTTGTGAAGACAAAAACTTTCAAGATGTTTGTAATGAGCCTGAAGTGTGTCCTTTTTATGAGTATTATACTATTATAAGAATTTAGTTTTCTTTCGGCATTTTCCCAAGTTAGAACATTTTCTGGTCCAGCTAGAGGTTGTGCGAATAAAAAAAAGAAAAGAAAAAAAAATTCGACGGGTTCGCGTACCGGGCAGGTCAAGAACAAGGAGTCGTTCAACTCCCTGGTCAAGGACCACCTTTCCGCTTCCGTGGGTTGTCCGTGGGTTGTGTGAATGACTCATCACAATACACTGCTGTGCAAGTCTATTGTGTTCGACTTGCAACTACACTTCCAGGACGTCCACTAATGCAGAAATTGTCGAAAAGAGCCGAAAGTAACCACCAGTAGAAGTGTACTTTTGCAAAGACAGAAAGTAGAGGACATGCTGGGCATACGAATATACTGCACCAAGAACACACACCACTTAGAGCATTGTTGGCCCCCCTCAATTGACTTTTTGCAAACTCGTGTCTCATATCTGCATCAAATGCCACACCCCGATTGCCTGATGTCCCCCGCAAATGAGTCTTAAAAGCGGGCTTGTTTCTGCAGTGCGAAGACACCATTGTTCAAATTTCCCTAACTCTGCCGGCCTGTGTGTTTTAAAACTATCCCACATGCAGAGGTCAAGATACCGCTGGAGAAGACAGCGCCCCCATCACAGGCAGACACTCACCGTGGTAATGACTGCCGAGTCTGGCACAAGACCGATGTCCTCATTGACGGTCACATTAGAGGCACTGGTGAAAACAGGGTAGTTGTCGTTGATATCAAGGATGTCAACCTGAATGTCAGAAAGAGAGGTCATTGTAACTTCATGAGTGCAATGATACCAAGACCAAGGCCATGCGGGCATCCCCGTCTTACTTGGTTTACGAATTTAAAGCCATGGTCCAATATGTCGTGCAGTTTCTCTTTCTCTCTCTCTTTCTCTCTCTCACTCTCTCTCTCTCTCTCGCCTCTCTCTCTCCGCTGCTGCTAAGCGCGTCGAAAATAACAGCTTGTTCTATGAGAGCACATAGGTTGTTCTATTGCCAATGACAATTCAATATCCCGTACGACCAGCATGGTTATGGGTGATACCAAGAGTACATACTATGTGCTAGCTTGTGGGGTTGGGTTGCTGGTCAAACCACACTGCTCCAGAACCTGTACATACCGTCACATTAAGCTGGGTATGGAACTGGTTGTTGACGTACAGATCCAGTTCGACGTTCATTACGCTCGCAATTTCGTAGTCGGGAACGTAGCTGCCATTGATTCCCGTGTATAGCGTGCCGTTCGGATACGTCGTGAAGACGCTGATGTTATTGATGGTGTCGCCGCTGGAAAACTTGTAGGTGAGAAAGCCGGGCGCTCGGAACATGAAGTTGTCCGGGATTATGGCTACAAACACGTTGGGCTGCATGATCGACGGGCAATGAAAACAAGAACAGACGTACGTCAGTGACAAATGTTTCTAAGAACTCACAGACACCAGTGCAACCACCCATACATTAGAGTATCTCAACTCGAACTTTCCAAATACGGTCTCTTCGCCGCACACGTCACTTCAAAATAAATAAATACAGTAGGTATCGGTTATAGCGTGGGTGTTTGAAAAACGACTTTCTATTCTTATTTCCGATATTTCTTACACACGATAAATCAAGTGTGGCATATCATTATCCATGTGCGCATGGGCAGGAAGATCATCGTACATGCAACGCAGTACTTTTGTGCATGTGGCTGGTCATAGTCCCATAGGCTTACCATGTGGCTATGCAACATGAGTTACATGACCACAACAGTTGAATCTGCAGCACTACGACGCAACGAGAGTCAGATCAGAACGGAAATGGACAGATGTAATTACTACAGGCGATACACTTTGTACTAATCTGGCATGTTACGCGACACGAAGTCCATTCTTAGGACCGATATATTCTACTATGGGATAAAATTGCTTGTAAGAAAAAATGTGCACTTGAAATCCATGTTATGATTATGAAAACATGAGCGTTCATTCTTGTAGGCAGTATATTCTTTTACACGACCACGCTATAACCGATACGCACTGTAATTTTAAAATTCACCAAATTTTCGGACATGGCCCATTCTCAAGGTGAAAGCATTCAACGTCAGTGATGTCAAAAGAAACCAGTTTGCCGTGGACACCGGAGGTGCAGACTTCATTCAGACACGAGTGCTTTGTACAGGGTAGATGATTTATTCAAACATCTCAGTTGAGTTTCCACAAATCTGATTTTAAGGTTGGATTCGGTTAAAAAAATAATCTTGTTATACTGCTATAACCTCACCTACATTGTACTCCCATTGAAAGTCTATTATGTGACTTCAAAGCAGGGTACGTGGGAGTTTCACACTCTTGGGGACGATACCGTGTTGTCGGAAAATATAACCGTTATTTCATTACCACCTATCTGAAATAAGTGCCAAAACTCTTCTGGACTTTTTGTGTGGATTTTTTCAAATTGGGTGAAATTTTGGGGCTTGTCAACTAATAAGCGCTTCGGCCAGTATCTCCAATATACGGTAAATTTGTTATATGGCCGGAAATGGGTTTTGGATATAACAAACCCGGCCAAATTGTGTAATTCCAAGCTGCTGCATTGTCAGAGCTGCCTGAGCTAGTTGAGCGCAAAGGCAAATTCAAACTCAGCTAGCTTACAACACCCCACAGTACAGCAAGAAGGCAGCAATGCCTGTACCTAGGGTGAAATAAATGTAAGGATAACGAAAAATACAGCAAAACCTGGTTTAATTAAGCGACACCCCACAGTGCAAGCAAAAGCGGTCGTTAAACCCAGGTGGTCTTTAGAACCAGGTCCCACAGTGTCTGTGTAGAATTGTCGGTGCATGGAGAAACGGTCGTTAAGAGCAGGTGGTCGCTAAACCCAGAGTTCGCTTACATCAGGTTTTACTGTAGCACTAAATTGTCATGAACTGCCATTTTCAATATACTCTCTATTGCTGCCTGGCTGTGCTCCCAAGTTGTCCTCTGCACTGTTACAAAGGCCCGGCGAGAGAATAACGGTTCTAAATGATCAGCGGTGGTACCCACCGTGTTCTCCTTGATCTTGACAGTGATAGCTAGTGCCTGTCTGCTGACTGAATGGACAACTTCGTTGTAGACCAGAGAACCAAATTGCCCAAGGGTATTGCTGTGGGAAAGCGAATCTAACAAACAACGGAAAACAACAGACCGTGAACAAATGCCAGCACGTAAGGCTTGCCAATTTGTTTTGCCAATTTTCGTGTTGCATTTCCATTCATTGTGCATATTTTGCCCATAAAAGAAGCTTTCCGATTCACGAATGTAAGCAACTGAGAGAACATCAGCATATCCGGTTGCCATCGCAACACCAACGCACTGGGGATATCACCACTGTGGTAGTTCAGGGTCTTACGTCGTCCATCGATGACGGCTGCGTTGGCCAGCCGGACAGCAAAGCAGTTGGCGCCAAAGAGAAAGAACTTATTTTTCGTTTGCATGCTGATTGCTTGGCGAGTGGTGTAAGCGTCAGGTTGCTATGGTAGCATCAAAACCAGCAACAGCCAATAGACAAAAAACACCAACTGCTTACTGGGTAAACGCTATGCATGTGCTCCCTCCAGGAATTGAAACCCGGACTTCGCCGTGAGCCAATGGAGCCTTTTTCCCTTCCGCATCTCCCATGATTCCCGACAACAAAAGGTTTCAGCCAAAATCTACATCCTAACTGGCTATTGCTCTCGCCCCGGCCTCCAATCCCAGGGCTGAGTCTCACACATGATCACAAAATCCCAACCCTGAAAAAATACCCTTGTCAATAACTTACATACGGTACAAGGTAGGTTGAGTCCTCTCTGCTCACAAAGTGACCAATACCTGGAAGGGCATGGGTTGTACTTCAGGAAATAAAGTCCAAAAACTGCCGAGTACTGCACGATACTGAAATCATGATCGGGACAGTTGACAGTGCGTGTGTGTTTTTAGGACTGTTTTCATATTTCTGTGTTGTCTAATCTGCGATGGCATGCGCATAAGCACCCCCTTGACCCTGCTTGTTACTCATTCTTCATTCCATTCGGCCTAAGCGAAGACTAGCCAAGCTTGCTTGGTGATGCCAACGTGAAAAGGCTGATAACAATAATAATTTTCTTCACATACAACAGCAGTACTATCCATGGTCTTAAGTGGCCCCGGGATGCTGCATACTAGCAATCCAGACACAAAACTGATGAAGCCACCCCTGAAAATCAATAAGAACTTACATGTGCGGAACTCAACCTTGTTGTCCTTGAAGAGGTCCTGCTGCTGACGGCTAAGATAGACATTCATTGTGCGCTGATGACGGGTCCAGGTGAGAGAATAGGCAAGGTTGCCGAGCGCCCATGCAAATATACACACAGGCATGGAGAGAGAGAGAGAGAGAGAGAGAGAGAGAGAGAGAGAGAGAGAGACAGAGAGAGAGAGAGAGAGACAGAGACAGAGACAGAGAGAGAGAGAGTCTAAGAGGCTCGGAAAGAAGAGAGAGATAGAGAGAAAGATACTTGGTCCGCGTCACTACAATTGTCACTCCGCACGTCGCAGTTTGTGTGGGTTGCTTGTCTTAGCCGGACTGACTGAATCGCTGTTTTCTGTGTTCGAACATTAGTACGACCCTTCCTACGCAATGTCTACTTGTCACGGAAGCCGTGGTGGTGTCGCAGCTCTTTTCCACATCAAACAAATTTGTCGCACTCTGCACTATTTCGCCCCAGAGCGCGTATATTTTCTGGAGATTGTGCCAGCCCACATCATTTGAGTGGGCATTTGTCAAGACTGCAAGCTCGGGCATGTGTATCCTAGTAGCTCCCCTGAATTTGAAATGCTGAAGTTGACGATTGCAAGAATAAGGTGTACTCAAATTCCTAGAAAAATCCCTACGTGCGGCGCATCTTGCTGCAAAGGTAGCAGGTCTGAGAACACCAACAAAATCAGAAAAGCCTTCGTCAAGGAAAGAAGGTGCAGAGCTGCTTACCCTATCCTGCTGCAACGTCGTTATGGTGTACTTCAAAAATTCTGTTTAGCCATCATAGCCTGCCACCTGGAGGCATGGATCGCTTGAAAACGAAGTTTCATGACCTGAATTTGAACGCGCGTCTCGTTCAGCGTCTTGTTGAGTACTGAAGGGTTTGCCTCCAAAGTCTGGTGAGGATGTCGACCTCAGCGGCATGTACAGCGAAGCGGGATGCCACAAACTTAAACTTAGTCCGTCAGAAATCCTCGACCTCAATTTCTAGCTGATTTCTTTGCTTCGATTGGACAAATGAATTTGAAAAATCGCTCTGGGAAGCGACAATTGTTATGACGCAGAGGAATTAGATAGAGAGGGAAATTTGCATTTACTAAAACGGCCAGAGAGCACTTGTGATGGAGTTGGAATTGCATTATTAATTTACATGATAGTGTGCAATATGTGCATGCATCAAAGTCATCCAGCACAACCAGCTTAGGAGACACAGCTATCTGATTTTGTTTGGTTTTCGTTCCCTTCTTAAAGCGATGTTACAGGGAATGATGGAACTACTATTACGAGACCATGTCTATACAGGTAACAAGTTGGGAAATATATGCAATCATGTGCGTGTTCATGTGATTTGTGAGGTGATGGATCATGTGACTGAACATGTGATTACCGTGCTATGATTTACATGCAGTGTGTATGTGTGTACTTCCTCCGTATACAAAAACTTCGTGACTTTTTTTAAAGCTGCGCACAGCTCTGGAATTGTTCCGTTTGACTCGGAATAACACTCGTGGCATTGTCTAACCTGTTTACAAGCTATATACAAAGAAAAAAGTAACTCAGACGAATGAGATTGAGTTTTTTCAGAGTCTTCGTCGCTCATGTCATTGGCACCTGACGACTCTGACTCCGCATCGCCAACAGTCGCTGCTTCCGCTCGCATTTCGTTCGGATTCTTGTCACCTGCAGTGATGATCCGCACTGGACTTTGGCTACGTTCTCTTCATCTCTAGAGCTGTCACGGTACGAATCGGTGTGGACTATATTCAGTCGTTCCAACCCGCGACCTCCATTATGCCGTGAAACGAGTCGTACAAGCACATCCACACGCTTCGCATTTTCTCGCCAGGATAATCCTCCCAAGCATTCTACAATGGCTTCGAGGAGATCCCTGCGATTCCTCTTGACGACAAAGGAGACGTCTGACTGGAGAGAGGCGAAGAAAGCCAGGCCATCGACATTCTGATCCTGAGTCTGCGCTGGTTGCACGACGACTGAAATGTTTCATCTTGCGGTGCGAGCAAAACAAATCTATGTTCTCACGCTGCATAGATCTATGGGGCCGCGCACCGCAAGTACGAGCCTGGCCAGTTTCAGGGCAGCGAGTGCCGCGTGACTCCGTGTTCCAGCCACGAGCTACACTTCGTCACTGTGTCAGTTTCGAGCAAGCAAGTGTTAGTTTTTTTGAATTTGACTCTTGAGTTTCTGTCGTCAACGTCCTCACATGCATAGCGTCCGTGGACAATCTGTTCGGGATCAACCAAACTAACCTCGACATGGACGTGGGTTGTCGATGACAGCCTTTGGCGCCGTTCGTTGAGCAGGTTCTTGCTCAAAAACACCGTTCAAAAAAGTCACGAAGTTTTTGTATACGGAGGAAGTATGTGTGTATGTGTGTGTGTGTGTGTGTGTGTGTGTGTGTGTGTGTGTGTATGTGTGTGTGTGTGTACATGGGTGCGTGGGTGCATGGGTGCGTGCGTGGGTGCGTGCATGGGTGCGTGCGTGGGTGCGTGCATGCATGCTTGCGTGCGTGCGTGTTGTTTTTTATTATTTTTTTACTAGCAAACACAGCCCTACTAATAATCAGGGGAAGAGGACAACTGAAATGATACTGGACAACAAGACAAAGGGGAGTAGGGGCGATGTGACGTGTGCGTGTGTTTGTGTGTGTGTGTGTGTGTGTGTGTGTGTGTGTGTGTGTGTGTGTGTGTGTGTGTGTGTGTGTGTGTGTGTGTGCGTGTGTGCGTGTGTGTGCAATATGCAGGTAGATGCTTACAAAGACCGAGCCCGCATAGACTCCTTTTCCCACCAAGGGCATGAGATCAATGATCAGTTTGCCTGAAGACCAGAATCCACACTGTTCAATCCCGTTGGCAAGTCCTCCCACGTACAGACTGATCGTAAGCCGTAAGCTGGTCTGTTGAAAACAGGAGAGCACAACATGCAGCAGGGCATTGTTACGACAAGCTAACTGTCTGTCTGCTTGTATTGATCGTAATTCCTCTCTCTCCGTCCCTCCCTCCCTTCCCCTTTCCATATTTTCCAAAAGTAAATGGATGCTGAGCAGGGAAGGTTCCTGGAAGGGTGGATGGGAAAAATCATAAAAGGGAAGTGAAATGGGGTCAAGGGAAAAGTAACATGCTGCTACCACACGTTGCACTTTCCAGTCAATGTTTAGCAGCAACATTATCTGCACTGTTCAACCACCTTCATACCCGTCCATACTGCACAACTTTTCTACTTGGGGCTCCCCCCTCCCTTCCCCTCCCTGAAAATCCAACCACTGTGCACCATACATGTATCTCACTCACTTGGTTGTATCTGAGCTGCAGTAGGCCACCCTGACCTTGGCAGCTGGAGGAGTTGGGAGACTGGCAAAATGCTGGTGTTATGGCAAGATTCAACTGACCTGCAAGAAACAAGAGTTTGTCAGCCAGTGGTTAAAGCAGCAATCGATCATCAAGTCACTGTTGTACGGCTGGTTGTCTATAAATGTATAGAAAAATAGAAGTGAATTGGCTTCTCACGACGCCGAGCTATTCGTCTATTGCACACACACGCACGCACGCACACGCACACACACACACACACACACACACACACACACACACACACACACACACACACACACACACACACACACACACACACATACCTCAGACCTCAGACCTGCCCAGCTCGGAAGCGATGATAGCGAACAGATATGTTAGACATAGCAACTTGTGCTGGGATTACACCATTCAACAGCTTGCAAGGCTGATGAATTGACCACCACTATGTTTAGCCTGGTATCCACCACACAGCTGATTGAAGTGACTTTCTCTGGCCAGTGAATCCCTATTTTTCATGTTTCCATTTTTTCTTCTTTTTCTTCCTTTCTTTTTTTTACACACACACACACCACACCACATACTCCAGCATACACTGGCTGTTGGTAACCACCCAGGAGAATGAAAGAAAAGTCAGGAAGAGTCCGAGAAAGAGAAGAAAGACGTGTTCGACCATAATCGTCGGGAATTGAACCCGCAACCTCTCGATTGGAAATCGACTGTACATACCACTGCACCATGTGGGACGCACACACACACACGCACGCACGCACGCACGCACACACACACACACACACATGAACACATGAACACACACACACACACACACACACACACACACACACATGAACACACTCACACACACACACACATGAACACACTCACACACACACACACACACACACACACACACACACACGAAAAACTGATTCGTGAGCAATTTTAGTGATTCCTGATTAGGGTGTTGAAGAGTACGGATTTCTATTTTTCTTCCCATGCTAGTACCGTTGTAAAAACCTGTACTGAAAGAACAGATTTGGTGAGTGATGCCCACCTGTTAGAGTCGTAATTCCTCGGAGGTAGTTCTCTAGGTCCTGCAACGGCCCGAATCGAACTACTCGGCCAGCCAGCAGACTAGGTGTAAAGCCAGTGGAGTTGCTTGGTGGCGGCCTGACATCAATACTGGCGCTTGAAGTGTACAGCTCATTCAGCTGCTTGGTGCTGAGTGCAAAGTTACCACGGGCCTGCGTCGGTACAGAAAAATACAAAATTCAAAAACAGTTAAAAAAAATTGAACATCATGGTCTGACAACTACACCATAGCTCAGTGGTTAGAGCATCGCTGGCTACAAGCGAGGGTCCCTGGTTCGAGTCCTGGTGGTGACAGTCAATTTTTTCTTCAGACTTTTCCCGTTTGTCTCATTCCCTCAAAAACAGTTAATATCATAGTTTGCGTGAGACTGGGCTGGAGGGGGCGTTTTCCGCACCCGTAGGAATGCCACCACCCTCAATGGGTAAAATGAGCAATGAGATTTCCGTCTTTGACCGCTGTCTGGTGGGTCTGATCTACTCACCTCCCTCTGAAGACGGTAACAACTTGAACTACATTGTACTGTTGTGGACGTGGAAATCCGGTCGCACGTCTAGCGGCCCCAGGGCGCTGGCCATGCAGCCGTGGGTAAGCGGTACACACATGCATTTCATGCGCTGCAGCGCGCTGGTCGCATCGGATCAACATGTGCACTGCATGCAGCGTTCTGTATGCGCTGAGGGCGCCGGCCCCGGTCAATCGACTGGATTTCCAGGTCCACGTCAGTATGTCAGCTCGACAATATGGTGGTAAACTCATACAGCTGTACTTGATATTGTCTAATGGGTAATGCTTGAGATGCAAACATGTTTGCGATTTTTGGGAGGAGGCGGTGAATCTCAAATTTTGTTTTTTCGCAAACTTGCATCATTGTGAACCACCTACTCGTACAATGTGGAGTGAGGTGTTCTTGGAGTATGGGGTGGAAAACGTTGAATCGCTCAAACTCGTCTGATTTACTAAAAATCAAACATTTCTTGTCAGAGCCAACACCCTGTTTACGGCATCACCAGCATAAACCATAATCATACACCATACCATACGCCCTAATGTGGATTAGTTTAGGCGAACATGTTCCCACAGGGACACCCAATTTCTACCAGGTGAGTGAGCGCCTAGGCTGATTTCCTAAACAGCAAATGTTTCTTGTCAGAAGCAGGACCCTGGTTTACGGCATCACATTCACACACCATACAATACACCCTGACATGATAGGACTAGTTTAGGTGAGCATGCGCCCATACAGGCCAGAGCCACCCAACCTCTACCAGGTGACAGAGTACCTGGCTGACTGATTTCCTTGCAACCCAGGTGCACACACCCATCCAACTGGACCGGTGCGTACCTAGCGGGCTGGTTTCTTGCAATACCTATTCACACACCCATCGAACTGGACCGGTGCGTACCTGGCTGGCTGGTTCCTTGCAATACTGATGCACACGCCCATCTTTTTTTACAAGAATCCACAGGGCCACAATCAGATACAACACAGCATGCAAGTAAGCGTTGGCATATCATGTGGCATTAAGTGTGGGGGGGGGGGGGAGGTGAAGGAAGCTCCACCGAGCAGCAGGTCACGGTTTCATTGCTGGCGGCACGTGACGCGCCTGGGCCCTATTTCTTCTTGTTTGAAGACGACAAACCCGTACAGGGAACACCCATAAGGCAATAGTATAGACGAGGGCTTTCCCACTACTCGTATTGCTCTCTGGTAATACTACATTGGTCATATGAGAAGAGGCAAACAAGAGCTTCTGTTTTCCTGAGAGGGTCATGCGAACAAATTGAAACAACCCTTTGCAATCGTCTGCATTCTCATTGAGTTAATTTCGCATATCTCACCGCGGTTGTGTTAGCCATGAGGAGTTGCGGTCCATCAGAGAAAGACATCTGCATTGAACCAAAACTAGCCTCGCTGCAGAGCAACATTGACAACACATTCAATACAGATACCCATGGTGAAATGAGTGACAGTGGGAATGGCATTGCTATAATTATACAGTACAATGGAATTCAATGTATGCATCTAAGATGGCTGCCACCTTTTTGCGGGGCAAGTTACCCCATACTTGGCAGGTACAACCGGTTTTAGTACATTTACGAGTATGACCTCGCAACGTCCATGACCTTTTATGCAGAGTTACCAAGGTGTGTATGGTTGTAGTGGACTTGCCCCGCAAAACTCAACGGCGGGAAATTGATGCAAACGTCCCAATGACGCCAATATTACAATATGATAATATACTGAAAAGAAATCTGTACCCAAGCCCCAATAACGGAGACCTAATGGCGAACATTTGGAAAGCGATAATTGCGGTTTATTATTATTGTTATTATTTATTCTTCTTTTACTAGGGGATTCCCAACAGGCGTCAGCGCCTTTTTACAGGGAACCCTAGGTATAATTTGATGGATGAGCGAAATTCAGCTGGTGAACTAGACATGCGGCAAGCCGGTGGAAGTGTATTCCACTGGCAGCGCCCAAATAAGAAATTGCACTAAAGCCATATCGGGTGTTAGCGGGGGGCAGAACAAGAGCAGCAGAGACTTGGCCATGGGTGATGGCTGCAGTGCGAGCACCATGGGCGCGCAAGGTAAAGCGGTCTCGCAGAAGAGGACTAGCAAGTCCATTCAGCCAGCGGTAAACAAATACATAGGTTTTGAAGTTAAGGCGTTTCTCAAGGGCGTACAAGTTAGTATGACTGTATAGAAGAGTGGTGGGAGTCATTCTATCCAACGAAAATATTCTCTTTAATGCTACGCGGCTGGCAATAAGAAGCTTGTCATATAGGGTTTGTGAGCAATGAATATATGGTTGCAGTGGAAGGCCTTGGTTGTGAAGGCGCTGGAGAGATGAAATCTGTGCCGACAAAATATACAGAAACGTTTTTTCCTCTGTGGTCATCCGGGAAATTTCATCGAATAGTGGGTATGGTAGAACAAACAAATAACACATTGCCTAGCTGCATGGGGACTCTCCATCCATCGAGAAACTGAAATCTACACCAGAAACGTAAAATGCATTATTGTATCTGTTCCCGAAGTGAACTCACAACGGCCGCTAGCTCCCGGTAAATCCAGTTGTTGTTTCAAATCTTTATTCTCACGATAGCCAGTGGCCAATAAGAGATAATAGTGTGAGATAGGAGAAAGAGTGAGGAAGAATTGGGTGGGCAGGGCCGAGGGGTTAATGACTACTTTCAATAAAGTGTACGGGCAGGGGTGGTCGCTACACGAGCATACAGAGTTGTGTACTTAAGTGTACGGGCAGGGGTGGTCGCTACACGAGCATACAGAGTTGTGTACTTACGTGTACGGGCAGGGGTGGTCGCTACACGAGCATACAGAGTTGTGTACTTAAGTGTACGGGCAGGGGTGGTCGCTACACGAGCATACAGAGTTGTGTACTTAAGTGTACGGGCAGGGCTGGTCGCTCCAAGAGCATACAGAGTTGTGTACTTAAGTGTACGGGCAGGGGTGGTCGCTACACGAGCATACAGAGTTGTGCAACAGCAGGGATATCTGGGATTTGAAGGGAGTACGAGAAGGGATTTCGCGAAGCTGGGTGGGCAAGCAATTAAAGTAATGAAGGGCCTTGTACAGGGGAGAATGGAGACAGCAGTAAGTCCGCGGAGTTGGCAAGTCTCAAGTACGAGAGCGACGTAAATTATACGAAGGTTGCACGTTGCTAACAGTGTGCAGCGAGAGTATATGTGGTGGGGCATAATTGTGGCGCAGAGAATGCGCGAAGAGTATATGTTTAACTTTAAAGCGTGAAAATAATGTTGGCCATTTGATGCGATGCAAAAGGTGGGAGTGTTCTAAGTGTGTGTAAAGGGGAAGGTGGAGACATATCCTGGCGGCTTTCCGCTGGAGTCGTTCTAGCCTGTCAAGGGAAGTGTGTGACAAGGGTGTGAGAGCATTGCTCGCATATGAGAATATAGGTAGTATGTATGTCTGATAGATGTGAGATAAAGAATCACTGGTGAGTGTAGACTTTAGTCTAAAAAGAATATTGAAAGACTTGAGTGATTTTTGACTATGTATTTAACATGCTCCGTCCAACGGAGGTCATGCTGAAAGATTATTTCGAGGTGTTTGTGTTTTTGTGCTACGGTAAGCGGACTATTTCTGAGGGTGATCTGGGGTAGCTGTTCAGGGGGCGGTTATTGTGGTAGAACGGGAGGATGACTGTTTTCTTTGTGTTTACCAGCAGGTGCCATCTTTGAAGCCAGTCTTCAGCTGCGGTGACACTCTGTTGTAGGTTTCGGGTGCAGTCTTGAAGAGTTCTCGCTATGGAAATCAGAGCGGTGTCAATTGCAAATTGGCTACAGGTGGTGCCGGGATTCTCACATGCATGTGGAAGGTCTATGGTGTAGACGAGTAATAGAAGCGGCCCAAGAACAGGTCCCTGAGGGACGCCGGCAGGGATCTCGAGGAAAGGCGATAGGTCGCCATCCACCTGGACCCTTTGCCGACGCCCCAACAGGTACCGTCGGAACCACTCCAGGGCGTTGCCCTGGACACCATAGTGGGAGAGTTTTGCTAGAAGGCCTGCATGCCACACACGATCGAAGGCCTTGCTTAGATCAAAAAAGCAGGCATTGACGTATTTCCCGTCGTCTCTCGCAGTGGAGAGGGTATGGACGAGACGGGCGAGCTGCTGCTCAGTGCCGTCTTTCTCACGGAATCCGGACTGCTGGTTGGGCAGGTGGGGTGTGATGTGCTTGTAGAGGAGTTGATGTGCAATTTTTTTTGGATTTTTCATGTAGTGCTCAAGAGAGAGATGGGTCTGTAATTTGTTGGTTGGGTTGGGTCACCGGGCTTGGGTACTGGAGTAATGGTGGCATCTTTCCACTCCTGTGGGATTTCTCCGGTTTGGAACGATAGATTAAAGAGGTACGATAACGACGGTGCAAGTTCCTTAGCCGCGTCTTTGAGTAGGCGGTTTGGAATAGAGTCGAACCCGGGGCTTTTATTGGTATCAACTCCGCGGAGGAGTTTTTCGACTTCAGCTTGGGAAGTCGAGATTTCTTGAAGGGGACTGAGGATGTCAGGGGTGGTGTTGATGGCTGGAGTTTGCTCATTCGCATTGGCCACGGACAGCTTGCTCTGTGAAATGAAGAATTCGTTGAGGGCAGCGGCTTTTTGTGCTGGTGTCGTTTTGTTGTTGTTGTTGTTTCTTTTACTTCACCAAATGAACAGGCAGAGATGCCTTCTCACCTGCCCATAGGACAGGTTCTCACAGAATGATGAAGGGATGATATGCAAGGGAAAACAAGAAATGATAATAATATAAGACAGAAAGGACCAAAAGAAGAAAAGGAAAAATTATATGAAGACAATTTCATGGAGTCAGAATAGAAAGACAATAATTTCATGGAGTCAAAGAATAGAAAGACAATTTCATGGAGTCAGGAATACGTGGTAGATTTTATAGACATGCATGCACAAATGATTGATAGATGAGAAGGTTGGAGTTTATGGCAGATAATAAAGGTATAGCGAGGATATTCACAAGGTAAGTATATCAATGGCAGAAAGAGCTTTTCGGAAGGGACCAGGGACATCTATCACTCTAAAATCAGAGGGAAGAGCGTTCCAGAGAATGCTTCCCCGAAACATCATGATTGATCGTCCCGCAAGAAAGGGAACTTGAAGCTAGTTCGACACTTGTCCCCGTGTGGTGCGCTGCTCCTCCGGAACAGTCTCTGTGGCCGTTCGGGTGAATAATTGTTGAAGAAGGGGGCTACAGGAGGAGTTAATGCATCGATGATCAAATACGACAATTTTGTGTGTATATGTATGTGGTAGACTAACAATGCTGAGCAGAGAGAGCAGCAGGGCAGTTGGAGTCAAGAGCCGCTGTTGCAAGGTGGCACGGATGCTAGCCTTGAACATCTTTTCAAGCAGACCAAGCAGGTGTGCGCTAAGTCCTGGAAAGAAACTGTTTGAACCATAACACACAGCTGGGAAAGGATCATGCTCAGGAACCACGTTCGCCGGGCAAGCAAACTCAGTCCTCGTCCATGCCTCCAGAGCTGACCAATTGTTCGCACTGTCTTGCGACCAATATACTCCACATGTGGAGCCCAGGATAAATCATTATCCAGGACTAAACCAAGGTACTGGGCTGTATGGATCACACAAAGTTTCTCGCCATTGCAGAAGACCTCCGGTTGTATTGCAGCCGCGCCTCGTGGCCGGATGAAGAGCACTTGTGTCTTGGAAGTATTGAGGAGCAGGCCAATGTCCTCCAGCCAGGTAGCAAGGTTTGTCATGGCTTGCTAGAGGGTTCTGCACACTACAGCAGGATCAAAATGGGAGCAGTCAATGACAATGTCATCTGCAAATTCTTGGTGCTGTACAGACGGTGGCAGTATGGTGTGGAGTTCACTAGTGTAGGGCACTAAAAGCAGTGGCCCAAGGACGCTACCTTGTAGAACACCACGGGAGCAACTGACGGCTTCACTAACAGAGTCAAGAACTTTGACTCTCTGGAAACGCCCTGAGAGATAGTCAGTGAACCATTCTAATGCAGTTCCAGCTATACCAAGGGAAAACAAAACTGTAACTAGACGTTCATGCTTAACACGGTCGAAAGCTTTCGACATATCAACGAACACTGTCCCAGTGAACTCTCGTTTGCATCTAGCGGTGGACCATCGATTAACAGCTAACACAAGTGTCCAGTGGCAGATACAGCCCCTAACGAAGGGGACAAAGGGAGAAGTCTCACAGACGCTGGGTTTAGAACAGTGAACAGTCCCTTTGTATTCAGTTTCTCCGTAGAGCAGCCTCAGTGACTATACATCTCAGGAATTTTTGTGCATGGCGAGAGCATGAAACTCTGAGCTGCAATAACATTCTCCTCTGCCTTACTTGTACGAGAGTGTGCATGCACTAACGAAAGCACTGCTGCAAAGCAGAGCGGTGGTAGTAGCTGGGACTTCAGCACTCTGCTTGTAACAGCATACGCCATACACCTATAGGTACCCAGTGCTGTACACAGCGAGCTGTTTTGGTAATAAAGGGCTCACCAGTACTCTCCAGGTATGTATTTCACACTTCACCATGTACATATCGTCACCCTCAGTACCTGGCTCCTTCCTAAAGCCTATTCCCTCGCAACATGTCTTCACACTAAGTACCTGGCTCCTTCCTAATGGCCTATTTCCTCACACCTCTGCTGCATGTCGGCACACTCCTGAAGCAATAAAGATCCTCTTGTCCATCTCTCAATGTGACGGCTTACTATGCTTACCTTATGTTGGAGATACGCCCAGTGTAGTAGAGGTTGAGATTGGTGTCCGTGTGCATAGCCACAATACCGGCAGAGGCAGTGGCTTGGGGCGAGCCAACAACACTTCCACCATTCAGCAATCCAATGAAACCTACCAACAGCCGAATATTAAAAATGAGAGAGATAGAGTATGTATGAGTGTCCATGTGTGTGGGGGGGATGTGTGTGTGTGTGTGTGTGTGAGAGAGAGAGAGAGAGAGAGAGAGAGAGAGAGAGAGAGAGAGAGAGAGAGAGAGAGAGAGAGAGAGAGAGAGAGAGAGAGAGAGAGAGAGAGAGAGAGAGAGAGAGAGAGAGAGAGAGAGAGAGAGAGAGATAGAGGGAGGGAGAGAGAGAGGCAGGGCGAGAGAGGGAGAGAGAGAGAGAGAGAGAGAGAGAGAGAGAGAGAGAGAGAGAGAGAGAGAGAGAGAGAGAGAGAGAGAGAGAGAGAGAGAGAGAGAGAGAGAGAGAGAGAGAGGAGGGAGGGAGGGAGGGAGGGAGGGAGGGAGGGAGGGAGGGAGGGACTGAAGGAGGGAGGAACGGAGGGAGGAACGGAGGGAGGGACGGAGGGACGGAGGGTTGGAGGGAGGGAGGGAGTGAGGGAGTGAGTGAGGGAGGGAGAGAGAGTGAGAGAGGGAGGGAGGGAGGGAAGGAGGGAGGGAGTGAGAGAGAGAGAGAACCGAACTGAACCGTACTAAACTTAACTTCACAGTTCTGCGGAAGTAGGCTGGACAGGACCGGTTGAAGCAATTTTTGTTTGGTCCGGTAGTTTGGTCCTGTAGTATCAGTCCCTTTCATACAGTTTGTTTATGATATGGCGGGTATACATGTCCTCAACAGTAGGACACATGTGCTGATGGCCGAAAGTCGGTCCGGTGATAACGTCACCAACCGAACCGATTCCGGGGGGGGGGGGGGGGAGGGGGCTGCGGGTGGTTAAATCACTTAAATGTGTTCATGCGGATTGAAGCTATAACTTACTTTCCATTGCAAGGACGATGTTTCCCTCCCAATCAGTGTAGTCGACCATTTTACAAGACATTATCATCTTTTGTGTGAAAACGTAGTCCGGTAGTTGAGCAGTGCCTTTGATCTGGAGTCACATACACCACCATGCACACAAACACAACACAAGGACATACGTGTGCATGCATGCAGGTACATACAAACGCATAAACACACTCACACACACACACACACACACACACACACACACACACACACACACACACACACACACACACACACACATGCACATGTACATGTACACATATAATGACGGCTTTGAGCAGCAAAGCCAAGTTAGCCCACGCATGCACGTGTTTTGTCACGGTTCGTCACGCGGCACATGAATAAAAATATTTTTTCCGAAAATGGTGGATGAAAAAATAAATCTTGCGTGGCCGCTTTGCCCTGCCTCGTGTCAGCAAAGCAACTTCCTTGTCAACAATTTCTGTCATCCAGTTAGCCAAAGTGACTGAAGGTTGTGTTTTCTGGTTTTCTCCTTTGTCTCTCCGCCAAGCTGTACAAGAGTATTAGTTGTGCTAGTCTGCGTAGACAAGCGCCGACTCGTGTGAGCTGGAAGCGCTTGAAAATTCACAACTTCAAACAGCGATCGATCGCGCTTGGTTGAAATATTTATTTGTTGCGTGGGCAGATAGAGTAGCTCATGATCGCAGTAATGAATTTCCTGGAGTTCACGAGGCCAAGCAAGAACTACTCGAAGCAGAGGACCAGTTATTCAGGCCTCGACATGGCGAGTGGCGTTGACGCCAACTCAGAAATGGCTGTGATTACCTGTCAAAAAATCTAGCCAAAGAAGTAGACAAGGAGCAGAGGCATTTACATGGACAACGTACGATGGTGGTTTGCAACATGCTACTACTGCTGGAGCGACGTTGAGTGCAGGGACGATCTTTGATCATCTACGTATCAGGTGTGGTTGTCAAACGCTTGTGGCCTTTGATGTGGATATGAAGATGTTATGCCCACTGTGCGTTCGTTGTGCACCACATCTGCTGTGCACGTGGCATTACCCTATCTCAGGGAGAAATCATCAACCCAGTCATTCTGGGTAAAACTATTCCTGATAGCTGTGCAGGCCAGCACAAGAGCCAGTACGCTGCACTAAACAAGGTGCTTATGTTCGTGTGCTTGATGGTCAATGGAATGAGTTCAACTGAAAGCAACGGTTCCGCAGGTCTTCGACAACCTCAGCAAGGTGGTCGGCCCAGCAACAGTGGTGACGGTACTTGGCATAGAAGTCGACAGCGAGGACCAGGTGATGCGGCTACCTGACAAGAAGTTATTTGCCTTTCTAGCGGCTTTGATTGAGTAGTCCACGCGCACTAGCTACACAACGCGGGAACTGCTGTCGCTGATCGGAACCTTGTCCTTGCCGCAAAGGTGGTTCCTCCTGGCAGGACCTTCATCCGTCAACTCCTGTATCGAATGATCGCACTCCTTTGCCGCAAACTGGAATGACCAATCCTTCTTCTACGATCTCAAGTGTTCAAAGTCCCCTGACCTTGAGCTATTCAAGGATGCCTCTGATGTTGGCTTCTGCGGTTTCTATCAAGTACAATCGTTTTTGGGGCAATGGGCCGCTGAGATGCAGCATTACCCTTTGTGATTACTCGCTTCCGAGAACTGGCTTCCACAGCCAACCAATGCCTGGTGCCAACTCCTCCGCTGAACTCGCCGCTCTGATTGCTGCCAGCAATGATCTCATGAGCGACTCGGACCTTTAAGCCCGGTATTTGCGCACACATAATCTGATGTACCCAGTTTCGGCTATGGCCGAGTTCCGGTCCCTGACCGCTACTGCCGGCAGCTCACGGCCAGTGTTTGCGTTCGTCGACGGCGGCTACTTCTCCCGAGTTTTCTCGACTAGGATCCTCAACTGCAACCGGGTGAGCTCCCATTCTGTGCGCATTGGCGGGGCCACGCTCATGGCTCACCGGAGTACAAGTGTCTGTGAAGCAGCCATATGCCGTGCAGCATCCGATCACTATGTCAGGCGTGCAGCCGGTATACCCTCTGTGCAATGGCTAGCAGCAAAGACTGGAACAGCCCACGCCCATGTGGTGTTGAGAACAGAAGTGAGGTACATTTGTAGTGTTGTACAGTGTTGTGCCGTCCGCTTGTTGTGCAGTCCTTGTACCGGTGTGGCTCTGTGGGTATTACTTACAGTCCATTCAGAAAAAAATGAACTTCTAGCTTTTGGCCATAAATGGGTCAAACGTTGAGTTTTAATTAGAATTTTTTTCTGCAATCCCATATGGAATCCTCTTCCAATTATGTTTCTGAAGTTTTTTTGTCCAAAAAGCAAGCCATAGCAAGAATAGGATTTCGGCCAGGTTTTGCCCCAAAAGCACTGAATTGGGAAAAACCATCAAAATCCAGGCCGTTTGACCCCGCCTGCGACAGTGCATTCTGCGGTTCGAACCCCAGTTCAGGCACCCTTTTTGGACCCTTTTTCAAATTTCAAAGTTCGCAGCACTGCACTGTGTACGATGAAATCACGAAAAATCGCTAAATACGGGAGCTCGCCAGAGCCAGGACCCATCTTTTTATGAATGGACTGTAGGGGTTTGCCATGGTTACTTGCAGGAAGTTATGCTAATGAGCGATGCCGTGAGAAATGCTTGGTCGTAAACACTGGTTTTTGGGAGGGTCAAATGCATTTGCCTCTCAGTGTTGTGCTGTACTGTCTCAGTGTTGTGACACCTGTATGTTGTTGTGTGGTTGACCCGCCGGTTTGAGGCATGGGTGGTCAACTGTGTATGTTGTATCGGTGTGTTCCCGTTTGAAGTTACCGGGCCACCATGTGGTTGACCCGCCGGTTTGAGGCATGGGTGGTCAACTGTGTCTATTGTATCGGTGTGTTCCCGTTTGAAGTTGCCGGGCCACCATGTGGTTGACCCGCCGAAAATGGAGGCATGGGTGGTCAACCGTGTATGTGTATCATTGAAGTTGCAATACGTACATTGCTGTGACTCGCCCGATTGCTGTTGCCGGGCACCTACGCATTTATTTGCCTACTTGTGAAGAGATATCTCTTCTGGTTTATTGCATAATTCTTGGCTCAATGTTATCCACGGTGTCGCTCGATGCAAAGTCTCGTAAATATTTATCAGACAAAATTGAAAAAAAACTATGGCAAACCCCACTTCCTTGTATTCTATCTGCTTGGTGTACATGTGTCCACGTTTTGTACGTTTGGCACGCACATGCGTGCGTGTGTATGTGAGAGCGTGTCTGGATAAATGTGCATATTGATGTTTTGGTTGTTTTAAGTTTTATTGTGTGTATGCGTGCATGCATGTGGGTTAATGCATATTATGGTTAGCTTAATGCTTTGCCCGCTGCTTCTAGCAGTTTGAGCACGCTCATCGCTAGTACATCGAGCTGTCCTAATGTCTGTGGTTCTCGCAGCCATGGTTGACAGTTCAATCCTAAGCTCGGAGTTGCCCTGATGAGGCCTCATTGGCCGAAACAGTCTGGCTGTCTGCATCATTAAGAGAGCATGTCTGAGAATACCAAAGTATGTGTGCAAGTGGATCTCTCCGATTTCGCTCAAAATTTGCAGGTAGGTTCCCTTTGGGGTGTGGATCGATTATGCAAAGCCCTTGAAAAAGTTTCTGAAGGGAACCTTGAAATTTGCATACCCCTCAAAAATGGCCGAAATATCACATTATTTATGGGTCTAGAAACGAGTCACGCCACAGCGTATACGAACAAGCTATGAACAAAACTCCATCAAGCCAACATTGCCTCACCTTAGAAGAGTTCCTGGAGCAGTACCGCTTAGCCACGCCAGCATCCCAGAAGACGAGGTCCATCACCCCCTGACGCCACAAATGATCGTCTTGAAAATAGCCAATTTACGAGCGCTGGCAAAACAGCCAGCTACGTCCTCAATTGGCCAGAACTATACACCGGCAGATAGTAGAACACCTCTTCTAGCGCTGAGGACATGTCCCCCATCTTCCTTTTGGGGTTTTCTTGAAATAAACTTTTTTGAATTTTTCCACTCGACCATGCTGAAATACGGCCAAAGTCATACCTGCGCAGGAAAGCTCGCCACTCCGCGACGTCTCCTCAGCAATTTCTACTCCAACACTACTCCCAAGGCCGCAGAACAAAGTGTAGTGTTGACTCTGACAAGGAAAAGCAGCGGCGATCACTTGTCACTCCAAACGACAAGCTTCTCCTTGCGCCACCAATAATTTTTTGTGCGACTGTTGATGCAAAAGTGACTGAAGGCCTGAGCAGTTTTCGAATTTTATTGCAAGATGCACGGTGAGATCGCGTGCTCTGTGACGTAGGATGACGCTTCCTGCATATCACGTTACGCGGCCATCGATCGCGAATGTGCCTGGAACGCTACTCGGAACAGACCATGATGGCAGAGGTAAGATGAGCTTCATTTCCTGCTTGAACTGCTGAGAACCCCCACAAACTGTCCTAGGAGTGTTGCAATGGCAGCAAGCCGTTGAAATATGCCCCGTACAGCATGGAGAGTTATTCGTCTTTCACACTTACCTCCTGCAATCCCGAACATAGTCCAACAGTAAAAGTCCCTTGTTTTCATGTCGATGCTCGACAAAAGCGGCTAGCTCGGTCCCTTTGTGTTTACTGGCACGCGAGCAGCACTGGCTGCACGCACTTGTCGCGTGAACTGCATGAGAGATTTCTTACGTCATAAATAATGTGATTTCATCATCATTTCACTGGTCTTCGACCTACATGGTCAGGGAAAGTCCCGGTTCGTAGGCCTACAACACGGTCAGCGTGTTCTTGAGCGCCGTAACAACACAAGTGTGATCACTTCCAGACCAACGGGCGTTCAAGGCGAGTAACAAGCGCACTTGACAAAGGTGACTCTGAAATCTCGTGAGCCGTGGGCCACGCGACTTGGCATTCTTGCGTCACAAGGCACGTGATTTCACCGTGCATCTTGCAATAAAATTCAAAAACTGCGCTCAGCTCAGGCCTTCAGTCACTTTTGCAGCAACAGTCGCACAAAAAATTATTGGTGGCGCAAGGAGAAACTTGTCGTTTGGAGTGACAAGTGATCACCGCTGCTTT